ATTTTAACCAAAGAAAAGGACTTTCGAAGAGCACTGAAGCCATCAGCAAATGTGCATGGGAACTGAAAGCTGCTGGCAGGAATGTCGGCAACGTTTAGAGCTCAGTGAAGGACTCATAAAAGTTGTGAGTTTGGAGCGCAGGAGAGAAACATTAAGTACTTGGCACGGCAATACTGGCGCTACAATCAAGCGGGCAGCCTTTATCTTCTGCCTTATGAATACTGCAGCTAATGAGGCACGAGTTCACTTCTGCCATCTGCTCAACTTGAATAAAACTATACAGAGAGATCTTAACTATACAGAGAGAACATAAAACTTTATAGAAAGAGGATAAATATACAGAGAGAGCTTAACTACGTGGAAAGGACTTTATGAACTTTAGACTATAATTTAATGAACATTATACCAAGCTCTGGTAGGGTCTGCGCTCTTGACTGTTAAAAATTATAGTAAAAATGAACAATTTTCGAGTCGTAATCGCAATGTTACGTTTAGAACAAATAACGGAATATATCTGAGCGGATCGTCAATGGGAGAATGGACAGCTCATTAACTTCACTGGATGTACAAAGAAGCATGCCTACAGCACCGACTATAATTATGGTTTGTAAAATTTTCAGCATATTGCCGGCATATAAACATGAACGCGCAACCGATGCGAAAAAGCTAACAAAGAAAAAATATTTCTAAATCAATTTAATTATGTGACATGTTAAAAACGGATGCACATCTTAATAATATCACAAAGAGAGTGGCACCATATGCTGCAAATCAGCTTTAATAACACAAATTAATAGGAGGCATGTGCCGAAGAAAGTCAGGGCATAAATAAATTTTGTTCCGCGCTAGCCATCATCATTGCAAGGTGAAAACCAAACATATGTTCTCCGGAGTTTCCACAGAGCAAAAAGTCATTTGAGAAATGAAGCTCTAAAATACAAATGAACTACAATTAAAAGCTCAAGGCAGGGCAGCCTACATGGCTTCAGAAATCAGCTTCTAACTATTAGAAAAGCGTGATGTAAGCAGGTACCCATTTGTTGTATTTTCAAAAGTGCTTACGACGATCGTAAATTCGAGATACGACATTTGAAATTGAGAGTTGCAGTTTGAAACATGAATCGCGATATTGCCTGCGGAGTTTACGAAGTTGCTTGTACTCTGCGTGTCTTGAACACACGACATTTCAATCAAAAATAAAATATTCGCGGTAAAAATAAGTGATTCTTTTCGAAGCAAGACCACGGAGGTAAACGTGTTTCAATCAAAAACGATATGTTAATCAAAAATCAAATGTTCGCAGTAAAAAAATCCTGGTTCTTTTCGAAACAAGTCCAGGGAGTTAAACGTGTTTCAATCATAAACGAATTTCAATCAAAAATAAGATTTTTACAGTAAAAATACGTGTCTTTTTTTCGAAGCAAGACCAGGGAGGTAATCGTGTTTCAATCAGAAACGATATTTCAATCAAAAATAAAATATTTGCAGTACAAATACGTGTTTCTTTTCGAAGCAAGACCAGGGAGACCAGGCAAACGTGTTTAAGTCAGAAACCATATTTCAATGAAAAAAAAACATTCGCAGTAAAGATACGTGTTTCTTTTCGAAGCAGGGCCACGAAGGTAAACGTGTTTCAGTCAAAAACGACATTTCAATCAAAAATAAAATGTTCGCAGTAAGAAAAAGTGTTTCTTTTCGCAGCAAGACCAGGGAGGCATGCATCGAAGTAAAAATATCTAGAAAAAAAGAAGCTTCAAGAGCGTTCACTCTCCCCAGCTGATCGTATCGGGGAGCGGGCATCATTACACGTACGGACCTTAGCAGAGATTCATGCACAACGGAGAACATTTTTCATGGATAAAATACAAATCTTCGAATAGAAATATAATCTTGGATTTTGTGGAAAAATAAAATAAAATACAAATCTTCGAATGGAAATATAAGCTTGGATTTTGGGGAAAAATAAAATAAAATACAAATCTTCGAATAGAAATATAAGCTTGGATTTTGTGGAAAAATAAAATAAAATACAAATCTTCGAATAGAAATATAAGCTTGGATTTTGTAGAAAAATAAAATAAAATACAAATCTTCGAATAGAAATATAAGCTTGGATTTTGGGGAAAAATGATTTACCAAGTCAAGGACTTCATGTTTTACTATTTCTGCTAAGATTCAATAGTCGGTCATCAGTGCAAATATTGGATGGGAAATTTCATAGCAATGGTAAGTGGTAACATAACTTCGTTGCTTGTCAGTGTCGACGGTTATCTCAACAAATACCATCAACGTACCTTGTAAAAATTCCGACATAATGAAAGCATTCGAAAATTGTGAGCAAAATGATTTTATTAGAGCCAAGTAAGTTCCAAGTTTTTATTGGAAATATTTTCTCACTGAAAGTTATTGACGAGCCCCGAATCCAATAATAGCAAGAATATTAAATTGAAACTTGCATTCTGCTTTATCAAAAATTTGAGAGCAATATGCAAATTGCGAAAATTTTCATGTATTCCACAGCCAGCCATGTTTAAACGATATAAAGCTGGTAGGAAGCGTAGCATTATTGGATAGCGATCTATAAGAGCTCTGGTTCACTCGACCTTGCTTTCTAGTTGATAAATTTTCTTATAGAATATCCTGCGCCAAGGTCCTGCAAGACATGAAATGATCATCGAGTTTCGCAGGGTAATAAATCAGGAGGAATTGTTAGCGTTCTGGCATCACGAGGATGATATTGCGAGGCCTGTATCGCACCCGAGGGTATCAGCTGCTGCCAACCAACGATGAATATCGGAACACAATAGATGAGAAAATGTTGGACGAATGTAAGGTACATGCATCAACGAGCGTAAGCTTAAGAATATGGGAGTCATGTTTTTAGAATGGGAGAATTTCACTATTCTTCAGGCGATTTGGACATGCGAGACGTTGGTGATTTCAGAGCTCAGAACAATTCAAGTCTCGTTTAAATATTTTTTATAAACGGAGGATGCTGAAAGTTGTTCTTGTTGGCAGCATCGAACCAGCGCAAACACGTGCAGCCGGCGAGAAGAGGAACAGAAATACCGAAGAATTCACTTTTCACTTGACTTGTAACATGAATATGGTGTTAACTCAAAATTTAAGCTATAAAAGATATCACATATATATGTATTTTAGTTTTGAATTAGTAATTAGCTTGAATGTTTACGAGTTGAACACATCAGGTGCTGTGAGCCGAAGTTGCAGCGACAGACGGAAGGCTTATCAGCCCTGGGAGTCAGGGCTGATAAATGCAACAGCTGAGCTCGAAGTCTTGCTGGTGACACAACAACCCTACCCATACAACCGACACAATTATTTCCAGTACCTATACCTCAAAAATCAACGTAAGAATATCTAACGCGTACTACGTACTATAGTCGTTTAATCGTTGTTTGTAAATTTAGTACATTGAATTTATTTATGCTCGAGTCAGAAAAAGCTTGAACTTTTACAACAAATTTTTGCATTCCCTGCTTAAGAAAACAGAAAGTTCTTACGAGAGAAGGCTCCAACGTTGAAAGGCTCGAACGAAGGAAGGCAAAACGTGGCAACAATGACGGAGAAATCACGAGAGAAAGCCTTTTCTTGCCCAAAATTTATGAATGTGTACAGATATGCTACACGAAAATAGCATACGTGATACCAAGATAGCATACGTGATACCGTACCAAGATAGCTTAAGTGAATAATTACAAAATCTTACAAATCTATTTTATATTTTATAAATGCTTTACGGGTTAGAAAATTCTTAACAGAGACGTCAACAGTGCAATCAAAGACATGGGTTTTCACAGCCAAGTGAAAACGTTTTAAGTCGGTCGAACGTATTGCAAGACGCAAGGCCGTGCCGCGCTGGCATAATGCGTAGGCACAGTGAAGAACAGAGCCTTTTTTTTAGAAACGAGCATCAAGAGTGCGGAGATCGTCGAACAAGGTTACGCTTAGTCTCAAGCAGTCAGAGACATGCTGCAGAGACACGTCTCTGTATCAGGGAGTCAGAGACACGCCGCAAAGACACATTTTGGTCTCAAGGAGTTACAGACATGTAGTCAGACACGCTGCAGAGACGTACACGTCTTGGTCTCAAGGATTCAGTGACAAGCCGCAGAGACGCGCCTCGGTCTCAAGGAGTCAAAAACACGCCGCAGAGACACGTCTTGATACCAAAGAGTCAGAGACGCGACACAGAGAAACGCCTCCGTCTCAAGGAGACAGAGACACGCCACAGAGACATGTCTTGGTACCGAAGAGTCACAGATGCACCGCAGAGACACGTCTTCGTACCAAATAGTCAGAGACACACACGCCTGGGTCTCAAGAAGACAGAGACACGCGGCAGAGAAAGCAGCTACGGGAGCCGGTTGCTCGCTGCCCCGCAACCACGAGCGTCGGTTCACTCGCCCAAAAGACAAAAACCAGCGGGAATTACAGCACGAAATTCTTACATCAGTCACTGTAGGTCTGGTGGCGTTCAGGAGGCCTAGGCCCACATTTTTGGCACGTTGCTACAATATAATACCGTTTAAAATTATCATCTTTAGACAATACAAAGATTTTACAGACACTGGGAGTCGAGTGAGAAAGATTTGTACACAAATAATTGTAACATTATTATTGGACAGATATCGATGACACATTGCATTGTTAAGCTTAAAAAATCAACACTAAGTGTCATGGTCGCTATTAGTGTGGAATATTTGCAAAATAACTTATTTGACTCTGACTTGATAACACAGGCCATAAGCGAGACTTCTTCAACAAAATTCAAGGCTTGACACCATCACAACATCATATCAACAGATTGATAACTGCTTGTAAAGAATCTACAATGACTTAAATGGAGCAGCATGGGTGTTCAGAACAGCTGTTTCATTCCACAGCTCAACGGCAGGCAGCTGTTATGGCAGAGCTTTGCTTGAACCCTACACGAGGACTTGCACAGATCATGACAAGAAAAAGCTACAGTTGCTCACCAGCTTAAGTAATATGTAGTTGACTGTGTTGTGGCGATGCTCTTCCATATTGTTATTCCGGTAAACCCCACGGTCATCTTTGAAGAATTGTTGAAATTGCTTTGCTGAGCTCCATAACGCAGGAGCGCACTAACCTCCTCACGCAAAACTTCATAGAAGACTGACTGGGGTGAACCACCAACCCTAGCAGTCCCATTGAACACCTTCGACGCGGCAGCACCATCACTCAATCACCAGCACCACAAAAAAAACTCAAATATTTACCAGGAATACATCTGGCGATGAAGGAAAGTCTAGAGATCAACCATCAGCTACCATGCTAAGGTGTTTGCAAAAAAATACTTTCAAATGCGATAAATTTAGCACGGAAACGTTGGAAAAATCGTACAATTTACATAAAACCGCTAGGTAGACTCATCGCGCATGTGGCAACCATTACAAGGAACAGGTAACATCGTAAACATGAAAGCTGTGATGGAAGCGACACTTCTTGAAACATGGCAGCTGTGTAGGGCACTTACATAAAGCGTTTCAGAAACAATAATACATAAAGAAACTTGAATAATGCATGACAGGTTTATGCGAGATCAACGAACTCTGATAGCGATACTCCTGCCAAAATAGGGGAGGAGGGAAGGGTGGCATGGAGAAATGCACAAAATCATCGGGTCATCTAAAAATATTAAGATAGACTTTATGAGCGCTTAATGCGAGACATCAAATATCAGTTGACAGGAATAAAGTTTTCTTGACAGGAATGAACGATAGAATATATTATATATCAGCGCATAATCGAAAGTTATAGGAAGTAATAAATTTGAGATTTGTATACAAGTTTGTGAACAATCGCTAACAGGAAATTAACTACAATTATAAAGCTAACAGGTACATCCAGGAAAAACTTCCCGCCCGTAGTTCTCTGAATAATTCAAGTTTAAATTTGACGACCGACGCCTGAAAGCCCAACCCATTTCCGGACACGAGGTCTGAATGTCTGCCTGAGACCCTGGGGCCATACTTTCAAAACTCGCTAAGTAAACGTAAGTACTTACGCTCTATTTTCTTGTCTGTGATTGGTGGATTTTGCTCGAAAAGCCGTCAATGATTGGCTGATGAACTTACGATCTCTTAACTTTTTTTGAAAGTATGGGCCCTGGGCCCATACTTTCCAAAAAACACACGGTACGCATACAGACAAGAAAATAGAGCGTAAGTACTTACGTTTCACTCTGGCCCGGACGACAGAGTAATCAGGGATCAACCTGCAGAGAAAAAAAAAATCAGGAAAACCCGGAGGAAGTCCTGTAGGTGACCGAGCGATCGTGGCTCTCAATTGGAGACGGGCGCATCAAATGCAAGTTACGAGTTGCAGTTTTTCCACGAAATTATGAAGGAGAGAATGTTGAGTTACGATGAGATTGACAGGTGGTTGTGATGTGTTTTTTTTAGTAAATTTTCATTTGAAAACCAGATTTGTTCTAGAGACTGATTACTAACTGTTGCATTCTCAATGACCTTCACTTCTGATATAAAAGTTATATTAGTTATATTAAGTTATAAAGTTAAGAACTTAGAAACGGGGATTATAACACGAATTTACCGAGGATAATGTTCACAGTGTATTTTGTACAGTATGACGGTTGCACCCCAAACATTGGCGAACCAGGCTGTTGTGATACTACGGATAACTGAATCGAAGAAGATAGAAAGGATAGATATTCTAGAAAATTAATATAACTGATACAGATAAATACTGTCCCTACAAATTGACGCTATAAGAATGCGTAACTAACATTTGCAATTCGAGTCCCCCACTGTAAAATAAGAGATACGTCCTAACAATAGAAACAATACACCCACTCTTGACATTAAGACATAAAAATCTTTCGTCGTATTCAAAACCACTATTTTTCACTCTTGCGACAAGACGATAACATCTAGTGTAGATGATGCAATATGATGTCCAGACTTGAATTGGCTATTTGCGGTCCCTTCCGCACATGTAGGCCATTATACGAAAAAGCTAATTCTCGGTTGGCGTCATTCTCAATTATACGCAAGTCACCCTCACACCGCGGCCACGCACCACGATTGACGCATGCACCACGCAAAATCTGCGTCTCAGGTTTGATCTTGACGCATTACGACAACAGATCAGCGGATCCACACCTGTGGTCCGTGGACCACAGGTGGCCTTCGATAGCCTTGGGTTAACAAAGTTATTCCGTGACATTACCATCGTACGATCTTGTCTGCTTGAAACATGACAAAATAAGCGATAAACTAAAAAATCAAAAGCAATACAAAATATGCGAATTTACGTTCTCGATTCGTAAAAATGAAAAATAGGAGCGCGCGAAAATTTGCAAGGAAAAACTTTATTCAAGTAAAGTTCGCTCGAACTCTTCCTAGAAAACTGACGACTAAAAAAACTTTGTTTAGAGCTCTCTTGCATGATTAATCAACGCCCCCAGAGACGAAAAACGAAATAAAAATTACCTAAAAGATGTCGAGAAGCCTGAACGAAATTTTGGCCTGAAAATTGTAACGAATAAAGACTGCGAGTAATTCACACATGGGTATAGACACGCGCTGGCGGACATGAATGCCACGACGTACGTCAGAGAATTTAAACTGACGAAACTTGCAGTTTTCAGTGGCAGAGAATTAATAGTACACTGTTAGAAAAATTACCGTTAATGGTATTACCGGCGTTTCAGTGGCCGGTCGGCACGTGAAAAGAAACACCGTGTCGCCGTTTTTATTCTAATTTAACACTAGAAATCCGTAAAACATATGATAAAAACGGCGAAACAGTTTATTTTCACGGGGCGACCGGCCACTAGAACGCCAGTGGGACCGTTTTTTCACCGTTTTTTCTAACAGTGTATACCCATTAAGGTAGGCTAATAAATTAATCTGATAGTGGTAGATTATTGCTTCGAAATACGGATGTGAGAAGTTTCTATGAATCTCATGCATGGGGGGCGCCAGGCTTAGAGGCTGCGTTGAACGGTAGTATAACAAACCGCTGGAGTTTATAGTCGCAGAATGTAAATTAAGCCACGAATGCTAAATCGCCTCAAATAATTTACAGCATCAAGTGAAGAAATTGGAAAGCACCACATTGAGGGTAATTTGAACAGAACCGATAACCTGTAACTAAGTTACAAAACTAAATGAGAAGCATCGACGTAAAAAGAGCATTGAACTGGCCGCTAAATCATGCACATAGCAACCACTATCACTGGAAGTATCATTTGGTGATTAAAAGAATTGAACTCTAAAAACAATTGAGGCATCAGAGTATGATTAACGCTAATATTTACCGTCAATATTCGTGAATAAGTGTCCACATGTAAAATAATTAATGAAAAAAATTCCCGGGTCTCGTTACGTAAGTTTTTCAACATTAAAATCTAAAGACATCCTTTATATTAAACATTTTCCCGTCAATTTTGAGAATTCTATACAAATAAAAACTATGTGAATACAAATTTGAAATTCCCAACCGAATTTTAGTATTCGTGACTGTTCAAAATAATGTTCAAGCCGAAGATCGCTCGACGCCTGGCATTACAAAGAAAGCAGAGTTATTATTCTCACTAAATGTCTCCGATATGCAGTTTATATAAATCATAATTATCACAGTCGACACATTTGGTCCATGGAACCTCATTTGGCGTCCGTCAAAAACTGGAGAGTGATGTTTTCTCGATACTGGATCAATATCATAGATTATCTCGTATACATGGGCACGTGAAAGTTGCTTAATTATGCGCGTGCGTTGTAAAATTTATAGAATATAGGAAGATTGATAATTATTTATGGTGGGTCAAGGGAAGGAGTCGTTCGTACTTAAAAAGTCAGCCGCATGAACCCGGCCTGTCGCTAGCTCCTGATATTTACGTAAAGATTTTGAAGAATAGGTTGAGGACATGAACTAGCTACGTCCAGCTAGGCCTTGGTATATGCACGTCAACTATATATTAATTTTAAAGCTCAATAATGTTTCGGTATTTTACTCGGTAACTTTAATTATTGTTATTTATTAACAAATTATTCCGTAACTTTATTGTTACTTATTGACAAATTTTCCGTTGATTCTTATAATAAGATGTGGGTGTAACTGTTTTACACCTACATTCCTCATTATTATTGAGAAAAAGAAATAAAAGAGGTTCATCTAATGTAACATTTAGCTCAAGGCACGTTGAAGAAACACAAATCTATTTGGCTACGGCTGATTTTCCTAAGACATTTATCTTAGAGAGCTTCCAACTCACATAAATATAACTTATCACAGACATAACATACGCTGATGCAAGCTCGATACTCCCGCAAAACAATTCTAGTTCATCACTTTTCAGTTTTCACATCAAAACATGCGAGTTCATCACTCATCACATCAAAACATGAGGTGATGCAAGTTCATCACTCATCACATCACACCATGAGGTTATGCGAGTTCATCACTCATCACAGCACAACATGAGGTTATGCGAGTTCATCACTCATCACATCAAAACATGAGGTGATGCAAGTTCATCACTCATCACATCAAAACATGAGGTTATGCGAGTTCATCACTCATCACAGCACAACATGAGGTTATGCGAGTTCATCACTCATCACAGCACAACATGAGGTTATGCGAGTTCATCACTCATCACATCAAAACATGAGGTGATGCGAGTTCATCACTCATCACATCGAAACATGAGGTGATGCGAGTTCATCATTCATCACATCAAAACATGAGGTGATGCGAGTTCATCACACATCAAATTGATGTATGATGAACATCATTTATGATGATTGATGCATCATAAATGATGCAAGCAGCAGCGGTTGCCATGCGCCCTAAAGCACCACGGCAATACCGGGAAGCTGGGATGATGTCAGCTACGCGTGCTCGTCCATATAAGCGGCCTACCGCACAGCGTGGGAGGCGCCACGCACACTAGGTAACCACCAGCCAAGCAGCTATAGGATCACCTATTAATTATTATGTCATCCAATGAATAACGACTGAATTGAAATAGTTTATATAATTAACACGTTGACTACGTATTGGTAAATATGCGTACCACGAAATGTATTTCTCCAGGAGGTAGTGGTACATAATTCAGGTTGCCTAAAA